TCTTTGTGCAAACAGAAGATTAATGGTGCTCAAAGCCTTTATCAACATGTTGGTATTTACCTGACAAAAGAAAACCATTAAAAAGTAAAATGTTCACCCAGCTGCCAAATGCCTATCAACCAAGCAAATAGTACAAACAAATGCCTCTGAATCAAAATGCTTTGGTCTGCCACAGGTGCAGGTGGGGTGACTACTGATGCTAAGCGTGTGACTGAATGACATTTCTGGGTACTTCTATTGTTCCCATCATGCCTAGTTGGTTTTAAGAAACAATCACCTCTGGAATTTCTTTCGTATCTTCGACATACATGTTCAAAGATCGAGTATCAAAGTAATTACAGAAAAGTGCTTTTGTATTGTTTACTAACAGTATTAAGCCTAGGTGATAAAGTACTTCATATTTAAGTAAAACCTTAGCTTTGAGGGAATTTTGTGTCTACATCTCACTAAATACTTTTAAAATCTTGTGAGATAAAAATTTGATATTTTTCCTTTCCACATGTTCCTCTTTAGGTATTGCTACATGACCAATCATGTGCTTATGGGATTTAATTCTTAAATGCTAGCCAATATTTGCTGCATGTCTGAGCACAAGTTTGCTCCCATCTTTGTTTTTGTTTGTTTGTTTTTGTATTTTTTTAGGGAAGGGACTACAGGGTATTCAGGATCTCACTACTAGATCAGACTCATAGTGACCTGCCTGTTTACAGCATCCCAAGAATTGGGATTATAGGTACGTGCCACCATGCCCAGTCTCAATTGCTGTGTCAGCTCACCCCAGGGAATCGAACCCCCAGCCCCTGTGCCTGCTTGCGGGTGCTTTAAACCACTGAGCTATTTGGCCTGCCCTTGCTCCCATCTTTGTACCTCCTACAATCTGTATTACTAGCTCGCTCAGCCTTCCTGAGTCTCACTTTCTGATCTCCCACATGAGGGTACGGAGGGGTAAAAGATGGCAAGGTTCAGACTTCTGCTGAGTATGTCTCTGAATACATTTCTTGGTGAGCCTATTAGATCTGGGCAGCCTGGTTTTGGAAGAGTTCATCCCCCCAGATTCTGGTTTTGGGGTTTGCTTCAGCTCCACACCCTAGAAGACCCTTTAAGAGGTGACTACCACCGCCTGCATGTCCATGCTCCAAGATTCCACCATTGCCAGGTGCCCCTGGAAACCCTTCACTAAGTTATTTATACTGTGTCTTGCCACTAGGAATAATGATTCATTTTTAATATTTGTGCAGAGCTTAGCATTTCATAGAGAGTCACAGAATCGAGGTAACCTAGAGGCAGAGATTTCAAAGACCCCATTTACTATTTAGTCAGAAAAAAACAACTTCTATGTCACAGTTGCAGTCATATCCTATTTTATATCACATCAAATCAAGGTGATCATCTTCAATCTGAACATATTTATACAAAACAGAAGAAACTTACTTCTCCCTGTGTGTTGGTCACCCGCTTGTCATCTATTTCTGAAAGAGAAGTCAGTATAATTTATTAGAAATGTGATACGTGCCTTCATACTATACATGTGAATATTTTCAAGCACATGCATCAAAACAATTGAATAGCTGCCCTAAACTGACATGGCCATGGTGGCTTGGAGCCAAGGAGAGAGCAACAGGCTGGGTGGTTTCCTCCTGAGAGAACTTTCTCACACAGGTCTCACAGCAGGTGGTGGGTGAAGCATCTCCTTCTTGGAGTCCTGAGTTCCCCGCCTTCCAGCAATCAGGGGCAATGAGTCCTGGAATCGAGGTTGGTGTCAGCAACCTTACAGCACTGAGTTAGGAACAACCGCCTTTCCTTGGAGACACTGCCACCGCCACTGTGTGCTGACTCTAACCTCCATTGGATCCTTCAAGTTTGTCACTAACGAGACCCAGCCTACTGTCTTACTCAGCCTTGTCGCCACAGATCCAGAGAGCCAGCACCTCACCTCTGTGTGACTTAGACAGAACCAAAGCCTCTGTCCAGCACTTCTTTTTATGTGTGCAGGTGCCTTTCACAGTTGTGTGCAGGGCTGTGGGGCAGAAGTGTGGAGCACAGGGGCTCACGCGCACACCCACAGAGCAAGGGCATTCAGGGCTGGCTCATTTCCTTCCTCCTCATCAGCTTCCTGGAGATTCTGCTTCTTCCTTCCTGACCCAGCTATCCTTTCCTGATCTTTATCCCAATCTAAATGACTCATCCTATGATCTAAAATAGCTGAGGAGCCATCAATGAGCATTTGCTTCAAGACAGCAATATAAATACTATACTCAAAAAATACTATATACATCATGGGTAAAAATGTTAACTGTATGCATGGTATTTTTAAGAGTATTTCTAAGGGTAGATCAATATAAATGGAGACGTGCATATACATTCAGAGGAAGTTACCTACATGCTGCCTGTGGGTGTTTCTGAGTGACTATATAACACATTTCTGCTTTATCTTTATCTTTATCTGTGCTAAATGTCTTTTTGTATAATAAATACAATTAGTCTATAATTTACAAAGCAATATATACATATAATGTATCTCCACACATACTAAATTTTTAAAATATATTTGTTTTTTATTGAGAAATAAATATGAATGAGACAGTTTTACAGCTGATTAATAGGACAATTTTGATAGTCAATACACTGTACTTTGTTATCTTCTTAGTGGTTATCCATAGTACAAGAAGCAGACAGGATATTCTATCCAAACACTGTCAGTATACCTCTTTCTTCTCATTGAGTTAAGCGAAAGTAGCTGTAAATTTATCCTATTTTGTATATATAAATACAAAATGATCTTTCCTTTGTATCCTTTTTTTTTTGTCCTGTCAGAGGTGAATATTCTATTGGAAACTAAATACCAAAGGTGTTTGAATTCAACTAAACAATCTAACACTGTCTAGCAGTCTATAATATTAGTGGGTTATCCTCAGAGTTGAGCCTTTTACAGTTCATCGTATTAACATGGATTTACTTTATATACCTCATTTTTATACTTTTCTGCTGGATGATTAAGACCAAGATATAGCAAGACCTATATACCCAGAGATGTAACTTTTGTTTCTGATAAGGTCAGCCAAGTACTCTCAGCATTTATCCTGTAGCCCTGTACTGCCTTTTGTACATCCTTTTGTCAGAGTCTCACATGAGGATGAGTCACAGCCATTGCTTGACCAATTTGCTCTCTGTGAAAGCCCGAGAAAATGTTTTTTCTCTCCATGTGACTCTCCCCAGGCATACTAAAATTTTTATGCAAGTCCAACCACATTTGACCAAAAGGGCCAAGCAGTTGGAATAGATAGCATATAGAACTAGCATGTAGTTTGAGAGCTTGGTTGCTATACTTTTAAAACTTACATAACTAGGTGAGGAATTTTGTCATCGTTAGCTAGGAAAGGACAGACAGGAAGCTAGTTAATTGTGACACCAACAGCAGTTGTTTGATGGAATGACGACAGGTATCGGTCTCACCATTACACAGCTATGACTATATCAACCAGAAGAGTTCTGACCGTGAGAAATCTGTCACAATCACATTTTTTATTGAATCTCCAGTACAATCTACTCTAAAAGTACGTGCACGGTGATCAGTTGGGTGCTTAAGTTAATAGCTGATTTATATTTTAGGGGCTTTTAAGATTCAACCTGGGACTTCTAATCTAGTGTTTCAGCATAAAATGGGCCCAATCAAACAGTTTTCTACTTTTTCCTTCTAATTACAAGACAAATTAAATAGTGCCTTCCTAAGGCAACTATGAGAACTTGACTTATTGTACAATTTGATGAAGAGGGTTTTTTTTTTGTTGTTGTTGCTGTTGTTGAGTAATAATGACTTAAATCAAGTATTAATGGTATAAAAATGACTGAGAACACTCAGTCCTGTGTTCTTTTCTTGAGATTGAAGAGTGAAGATAAAGTGGCCTTTAAGTCAAAATGACTCAACAAAGGCACAGGGAAGCCAAGGGTAGAGCAGAGTGTTCTTGAGACTCACTGGCTTTAATCCATTTGTTTTCCCTTAATAAAATATTGTTAAACTAGAGAAATTAATCTTTTCTGCCTCCAAAGTACCTCACACAAGTATACACACATACACACAACCACACACTCCTAGAACACACTCCCAGGGAACAAGGAGCAGACACAGTGTTCTCTCTAACTTGCACCCTGGGTGTTATCATCAAAAAAGGAGCCCCACACAAGCATATCTAAGTCTTGCTAACACTTCGCACTAAGACATCAAAATATTTACGATAGGTTCATGTTCTCATCAGAGCCTCAAAGATCATGACTGCATGGCAACTTCAAGAGTATTCAAGGGCACTATCTTCCCTGTGAAGTATAAGAATAGATTCCCGAGTTCAAAGATGTTTGTGCTTTCCCATGAAAACAGAAAAATTATACTGCCTTGAAGCAGAGATAACTAAATCCACTTGTTAACTGATGAGAAGTTAGCTGATGATCCAAGTCTTCCAAGCCAGACTGTTGTATTTATTCTAGCTTTATCTTATCTGTAACTCTCCCTCCCTCAAGAGCCATTTGGCATGGAAGACTAAATTCCTTTCTTTGGGAGAAAAATGTAAACAGTCATCTAAGTATGATATTTGAAGGGATATTACCATCTCTGGAGATGGAAATAGAGACATAAATGTTATAGAAAGTTTTAAGTATTAATGACAAGTTAGAAGGCTTTTAGTATATTTAAATGCATGGAAGGAACTGGGTGAATTCAGGGTCTTTGTGGGTGTGCAGAGATACCAATAATCTACTAATTTTAGAAGTGGCAATTGTATCTCATCAGACTTTCAAAAACTAGCTGTAATAAAAAAATAAGAGCCCCAGTAAATGAAGATTAAGAGTGGAAAACGGGAATGATCTACCTCAGAAAGTAAAGTCTCTGAGTTATACTGGAGGGAGAGCTATATAAATTAAGAAATGGGCAGAATGTAGAGCTCTAAAGATAAAGCCTGAGAGCCGTGGTTGGGGTTGGCCGGAAAAAGTGCACGTTGGAGATGAGCACTGGGTACATGCAGGGTTTCCAGTGAGGGCTTCCACTCAGCTGTGATGGCCATGCACAGGCCATTCATCTACCTTGCCTTCAGGGTATTCTTACATGAAACAGGAAAGAGGATGCACACTAATTCTGATTCTGCCAACCCAATTTCCTCATAAGTTTGTTTGAGGAAAGAAAAAGATGAAGAACTGGTGACAAAACTGCCTCCTCTTTAAGCTCCAACTGAACCTATTGACTTCCTTACGAAGAGTACTGTGTGCAGAGGGAGGGGGAGATGAGCAGCTCTGTGGTGAGAAGACGTGGCCCATTTTAATTCAGCCAGGTGGCCAAGTTCAGCGTCACCAGCCAGGGATTGTGTTGATGGCATAAACCCTTGGTATGATGTGATAAAGATGGCTGTGTGCCTCAGAGACCTCCTTTGCCAAATACCTTAAGCCCAATCCTGTCAGGAGAGGAACACTAGACAAATTACAATACAGGGATATTATATAATGTAATGTCCTACCACCCCCAAAACTGTTGAGGTCAGGAAGACTAAGTCAAAGGAGGAATGACAGCGAAATACAGTAGGGTGCCTTAGATAGGATTCTGTGAGCCATAAAGGACATTCAATAAAAATTAAGGAAATCTGAATAAACTATGGACTTCTGCTAATAATAATATATTAATATTCATTACAACAAGGGAGGAGTTTGCTAAGATAAGGGGAAACTATACCTGCACAAGCACTCAAGGTATCTTCTGTTCAATATTTATGTAAATCTAAAACTTTTAAAATTATTCTATTTTTAAAAACTTAATCAGAAAGAAGAATAAATAAGCATTAACTGTGAATAAAAATTATCTTAAGAATGTATTTTTGTTACTACCATCAGGGTTCTCTGTATCATTTGAGGAACATGAGTCATTTTTAGAAAGCACTTAATGTAGCCAAAAACAAGATCCTGGAACCAATATTGCTTTTAAAAATAGTACATAGAAACAATTGAAGACACAAAGGAAAAGGTAGGAGTAAGTTTATAAAGATAGCTCAGTAGAAGAAGTGCTTGCCTGGCAAGCACAAAGGCCTGAGTTTAATCCCCAGTTCCATAAAAAAAGAAAAGAAAAAAGAAAAGATTTTAAAGTGTAGTAGAATTCATTGAAAGCTAATTTTTTTTAAGCTTTATGTATCCATTTATTTGGTACAGGGTCTCCTGTGCAGCTCAGACTCATAATGATCCTCCTAATCGGCCTCCCAAGCACTGGGATTACAGGCATACGTCACCACATCCTATTTCAGTAGCCAGCATGGCCAGGAACCGACACGGCATGCAATACCGGGAATCAAACCTGAGTCCTTGCACTTGCCAAGCAAGCTCTTAGACCATTGAGCTATCTCCCAGCTGCCCTGAAAGTTGATTTAAACAGATATGTTAATGCAAAAAATTCAGTTAACTTATTTCAAAACCAGCCAAAAATAATGAGAACACACTGATT